CTGGAAGGACAACTGAGTCTCACTTTACTGGGGTAGTAATCAAGGTGACAAAGATGCAAACCAAAAATCAAGATGCAAGAACTACAAAGACTAGGGAAAACAGAAGCTGAAGACCTACAACTATTAAGGACTTTCCTGGGACACAGGCTTCCTCTAACAGCTTTTTTCTGTGTTTAATCAGAAAGAATGGCTGAAGATGACTACAGTTAAATTTACAGTAAACATTTGAAAATCTTTTATATTTGTTCTGTTAATACTTGAATAGTTTTATTTTTTGGATTATGTATTGGTTATGAGCAAAATTATTATTTAACAAGATTTCTCAAAATTAGGCACTTAACAGCTTTCTGAGAAATGCTGTAAGAGAACTATTTCATTAAATGCGATTCTTTAAATAGGCTTTTATAAATAATATTCAGGGAGGCATATGAAATTTTAGAATATTTGTAGGTCTCCAACACTATAAGCAACAATAATTTCTTCAACCCTACTAATCTCACCTATTAAATCCAGAAAACATAATAGGAAGGAAGAGCAACTCACATAAACAGCAGTTGATTCACTTCATAGGAAAGGTCTCTCAATTTCCAAGTCCTCCGATGTTTCCCCTCAAAGCTCTAAATATAAAGTCTGACTTCCTTTGACTTACAAGAACCATTCAGGGATATGTTTCCAGCACATGGCAAAGCGGCACTGCCCTTCACCACATGCACGCTCATCCCTTCTGCTCAGCAGTGGCCAAGGGTGAAGGAGCAGCCATCCACCAGCCCTGTGCCCACAGCAGGGCTGTTCACCATCACCTAAGCCCTTCTCTGCATCCTGCTCCATCCAGACACTACCAACTGGCAGGCATCACCAAGAAAATGATGCCTACTCATCGCCCTTAATACAGAAGGCCCCATTAGCAATCTTCTGAGCCCATCCCCTACCACTGTTTATTTACAGGAAACAGCAGAATACGATCCTTACGATCCTTACTGGAGAAACAGGTTAACAACAAAAAAAGTTACAGCTACAATAGCTAACTAACTCTTCTAAAGATGAGCAAAAGGCATGAGACACAGAATCTAACTAGACCTGTGTGCCTAGCCCTACCACTTAGCTGTGTGGCCCCAGGCTGGCGACAAGGCCTCTCTGAGACTTGGCTCTCACCTGTGAAAGGGGAATGAGCCTCTATCTCGTAGGGATGCTAGAAGTACATGCTGAGCAGTGGACCAAAGGCAGCCACTGCTCCTACCAAGCACAAGACCACAGATTTCAACCAGGGGCCTCTGAGCATTCTACAAAGAAAATAAATTTATCACGGGGCTATCTAACAGAAGCTTTCATTTACAGACTCCTCGTGGAAACCTTAGTAATTCCATTAATAGGATGGAAACTGAGGTTCACAGAAATGAAACCATTATCAGAATCTCAAAGGCAGAGACCATCCAAACATGGATCCTCTACACCCAAAGCCCAGTTGTTTTCCCCAAATCTTGTGGGTCAGCTCAGGTCCTGGAGAGAAGCACCTCAAGCTCTGAACACTAGGACAGGAAGCTGCAGAATGGCCCACAACAAGCCCGATGGCAACGAGCCCTTGAAAAAACAAAGAATCTCCAAGCTCCAAACAATGTAACTACCCAATCACCAGGACTGTATAAGAAATACCAAGAAACCATTTTCATTAAATTCTTTTTGAAATCGCTTCTCGGCCTTTTGGCTAAGATCAAGTGTAAATTCTTTTTGAAAATGTTCCCTATGTTCACAATGCAATAGTGTCAACAAAGAGGACTGATAAAAAAAGATGAATTAAAATCACGTTAAAGATAATGTAATTAAATGAAAAGGTAGGCATAAAAACCACCACCTCAAGTCTCAGACTCTTTCACCCTTCAAAAACTTTAAGTTTAAAAAATTCAAAGATTAAATGATTTTATTTTAACAATGAGATATTGAAAATAATGAAAGAAAACTGTTCTGATTCACAGTTGCCTGACAGGCCCAAGCACTCCTGAACAAGCTGACTTAAGTTGTAAGACACTTCCAAAGGGCACAATGGAGCAAGAACACCAAGAACGTTCTGCTTCACAAGCACACAAGGCAATCTTGTGAGCAGTATACCGTGGTCAGCCACCAGAGACAAGTTGTTGAGTGTTCCTCATCACTGAGAGTCCCACATATGGGCCAGAGAATGGCTACTAAGAGGAGATGACTGAAAATAAACAAAAGTTTCATTACATTAGACTTATCTATATAATTTTAGGTTAAAAAGAAGTGAAGGAAATAGTTTTACTTACTCTTTTTTTTTTTTTTTTTGAGACAGGGTCTTGCTATGTAGTTCAGCCTGGTCTTAAATGCACTATGTACCCCAGGCTGGCCTCAAATTTGTGGCAATCATCCTGCCTCAGCCCCTGGGTGGTAAGATTGATTACAGGCATGTACCACCACACTTAGCTTATTTTTTTGTTTTACCTGACTCTCTCTGGAGCAACTCTCCAAGAAACTTTATAAATAAGACATATGTCATTTATCTTTATACTGGCAGAAGGCAAGAGTCAACAATGGGAACATGAACTAACAATGAAATGTTTTTATTAAATAACTATAAAACTAAAATATATACTAATAGTCTATTGAGGTACCATGTACAAATTAATCCTCCCCATTGTAACCTCCAGTTGGCCCATAGCAGAGTGTGGCTCAGCCCTGGGCTCACAGTATAAGATTCTCACAGGCACAGCAATACATCAATACCAATGCTGACAGAGGCAGAGCACCACCTGGATCCTGAAGCTGCAGCAGCAGTCAAGGGCAGAGATAAAAGTTCAATAAACATTGAGTGTGCTTGGCACTTGATAAAACTGTTTCCTTTTTGCACTGCCTGAAATAATCGCAACTTGCACCTAGCCACATTAAGAATATACTATCTTAAAAATAGTATCTACCCACCAAAAACAAAAAACCAACAAGGCCATTAGGGAAATACTATTCATCAGTACAGAAAGATACAAGCAAAAGATAAGTCCTCTGAGGAGTCAGAAGCTGGCATGCTCCTGGAGTCACTTGTTAGGATCAACCCTGTTGGCTAACTTGAAATGTAAGATGTGAAAGACAGATAAACAGATATTCCAAAGAACTGCTTTTGAAAATAGCTTTTGTTTTTCCTGTTTACTGCATAATTGGGAAGCATCATTTTGTAATGAGGTCTGATATTTATTTTAAAAATACAAATACATGTGTTAAATGCAAAAAAAAAAAGACAGCAAAAATTTAAATAGGAAAAAGAACTTTTTGAAAGGAAAAGTGCTTCCTAATTTATAAGCTGCTCTTTGAAGGCAGAACTCTGATCCCCCACCTGTCACCCCTCCAGGGTAGACAGTACACACAGCCTTTGCACCTGCAGCTGGCGTGGGAAGCCTGTTCCCAGCACCGAGCCTTCTCTTAGGCTTGTGATTCAAATTAAAACCAGACACTGATGAACACGGTAAACTAGAAAAGAAGGCTAGATAACAGCCATAGCAACCAATGCACACTGGGCTGGCACTCAGAGGAACACACTCTTATAATAAGAAAGTAATGTGATGTAACTTTCACTCCTTTATCAACATTTGGAATAACAATAAACAGATGTGAGAAAAAAGATTCAGATGAAACAAAATTGTAAGTGCTTACTGAATACATATGGAACTCACGACAATCCTCCTACCTCAGCATCCCAAGTGCTGGGATTACAGGTGCCCACCAGCATGTCCAGCTATTTTTCTGCTTAATGCGCGCGGGACATGTGTGCATGCGTGTGTGCATGTGTGTTTGTGTGTGTGTTTGTGTGTGTTTACATTAACTGCCATTAACTGGTTTACTCTAGAAGCATGTGTTGACAGGTCTCCACATTTCTTCCTCAGTTTACAATGTAAGTTGTACACAACAAACAGGTCTCCTTGTTAAAGAGCACGATAAACCCAAGGGTGCTTGCATGTGATATGGAGTCCTCTGAGATTACAGCTGCAGATGCAACTGAGACAGTGTGGCAGGAGAAGGAAGCAGGCAGCCTACACAGCACCTCAGAGGGCTCATCTGTCATGGAAACTAGCGTTTAGAGCACTGAACTGTCCATGCGTAAGTGGGAAAGTATATTTCTGTGCCTTCCTGCAAGTGATCTGAACTGAGCACTGTTCAAAAGAACTGAGGCACAGGCATGCTCTGCTTTGGAACACATCTAATGAGATCATGTGTGATTTCAATTTAGAATCCTATTACTCCTTTTAGAAAAATGAGGGACACTATCTGTGAAACAGAAAACAGGTAACAGTATCTAAATGGTGCTGCTCAGACATGGACTCATGGACATGCTGCCCACAGGCACTCACTGAATCTAATCCTGCACACAACAAATTACTCACTTTGTATATAGGCAATTTTATTTCTTAATGGTTCTAGTTTGTTGAATTTGTTACCACAAATTTGTTTAACACAATATGCTATCACTAATTATTGACAGAAAGCTGATAAGCTGAGTAATATGTACCTGTGGGACGTCACGTTGGTCTTTCTAGAGACAAGTGACACAATACGGGTGCAGGCAGTGCTCTTACGAGTATGACAGTTCTCGTACCAACTTTCAGTAGGCAAAGGCTGGTTACGCCGAGGTGTGGCCAACCAGTGGTCCACAGATTACTTGCCCTCTTCTAAAAAAAATGTTACAGGGCCGGGGATTTAGCTCAGTGGTGCTGATGCCGGCCTTTCAAGGGCAAGGTCCTGAGCTCGATCCCCGGGACCATAAATAAATAAATAAAATAAAAAATGTTATAACAACAGTTTAAAAAAGTTCTGTTACTTACATACATTAATTGTATTACATATTTTATATACAACCCAAGACAATTCCTCTTCATTCAATGTGGCCTAGGCAAGCCAAAAGGTTGGAAATGCCTAAAAGGCAATTTTTAACTTTCTGTGCAAAATAGGACCTTCTAAGAGAAAGAGATTCAAAGAAGCAGACATAAAATTTGTCCACTTACCCCTGTTGACAACTTAATCACCCTGAGCTTGGAGCTCACATGAGGCCCATCGCCACAGCCTCCACTGTTGGCTCGGTGCATTACCGTCCTCTTCACACCAGGCTTTATGTCCTGGGGCCGGCCCTGCAGAGATGGCACTCGGGCTGCCTGGGGGGTGGGTGGGAGCTCCTCCATGTCTGCAGGTTTGATCTGCAGTACTTGGTGCGGTGTTTGACTCTGAGGAACTATTCTGGCCTGTCTCAAATGTTTCAGTGGTTTAGTCTGCTGTCCTTGATACTGCATGTTAGCACCAGATGGTACAAAGTTTGATGTTTTGGGCTGAACACTTGGCAGAGTGACATCTTGGTTTTTCACAAGAAGTCTGGTCTTCACATTCTGCCTGCTCTGTGCACCTGGGAAGGGTAGCAGGGGGTTCCCGTTGGTGGGGGAGGGGGCAGCCACCTGCTCCTCCTGCTCCCCTGGGGCATGTGGGGTGTAGAGGTGCTGCTGCTGCTGCTGTGCAAGTCTTTCCAACAACTCCTTCTTCCGAGCACCTGCCTGCTGCTGCCTCCGCAGCTCCTTCTGCTTCAGGATCTCTTCCCTTAGGCGTTTCTGCTCTTCTATCTTTAAGCGATATAATCTTGTTTCTTCATCTTCATCAGGAAACTACAATGAAAAATACACATGGCTTATTTTGCTGTACAAGGCAAAGTGACCATTCTACTTTGACAATCTGGAAAAGGCATAACCCAAAAACTTTTCAATCTGGTACTGAAAGAAAGCATTTCAATGATGCTTAAAGACTGAGTGTAACTCCTTCCTCTGGGGAGGGGCAAAAAAATAAATTACACAGTTAAAGCTAATTTGGAAAATCTTATCAGAATATTAAAAATGAAATGATGTAAATTTCCACTCATTTACAAGTTTAAAACCAATTAAACCACTCATTTAAGATATCAAAATATGTTTCCAATAGGAATGGCACTAGCAGCGAGGCCCGCCGTCACATGGGTTTTATCTGGCTCTTCCCTGACAAACCAACAAAAGGTGGGGTATAAATGACCTGAAAGGCCCTGATTAGAACTATTGATTTTTGTACAGAATTTTCAGCCTGATCTCAAACTCATTTGTCACAGAATAATTGGTTATAATGAACAGCATGAGTCAATCTCTCTGACCTTGAACTCATGTACCCGCCTCAGAATCAAAATGTTGCCAATTGCAGTATTGGAATATTAATGGTATATAAGGAATGCCTTGAAAATTTCAGCCCCAAACCATTCTGAGAGTTTATCAAAAAATTCTCTGAAAAAATCCAATAACTTTCATAAAATACACCTGATAAGAAAAGCTTATAAAAAGTTAAGCATTTAAAAAATAATATTATATAGAAGTCACTCATAGCCACAGATCCACTGTAGAAAATGTCAGATTTAATCTCCTTAGAATGTGCCTATTTAATAGCCTTACCTATCCTCAGCAAGCCCTAAGCATCAGGAAGGTGATATCAGACTGCAGCCAAGGGGTCAGTCATCCAGGGGTCTCCTAGGGAGCCTGTTTGTTCACCCAGAGGCAATTCTGACCAGCTCAGTTCCCTAATTTTCAAGTTCTGGACACACTCCAAACAGTTCATCTGAAGGTGGCTTGAGAGGCTTCTACCCAGGTGGGCATACAGACCAAGAAGGACACTGAGGCAAGGCGAAACAAACAGTCCAAACAACAGAGGAGTTCGGGCAACACTCAGAAGCACTGGGAGCAGCAGATGCACTAAGTGGACCATCACAAGACACAGGAAAAATTACTATTCATTAGCATTTCCCCAAACAATCCAGAAAGAGTTAAAGTATGTTCAGTAATGTAGGCAGGATTTCATCAAAATAGATTTGTGCTTTATTATATAAACTAAAGGCACTAAAAAATTTTTAGCAAAGAAAATTACCTAAACCACCCCAATTCAGTTTATAAATCTACATTATTTTTTCATATACTGATTATAAAACAGAAGTCACCCTTCTAACAAGCTCTTATTAAATGGTAAAGCAAGATTTTGACTTTATAATTACAATTTTGATTTGGTAGCATTACATTACAACCACCACAGTAATTTGTTAGAAGAAAATCTAATTTAAAAAATTAATTAAAAGATAGAACCAGTGTGAACTGGTTTTTATAAAATTAAGAAAGCATGACTTGCCTAAATCCACATCTAGAGAAAAATTTCATGCCATCATTGTTATATTAAATGCTAATCTATTATGCTACTTCCTTATAGTCCACATAAATCTTCCTAATACTGATAAAACTTCCAGATTGTCTCCTTGTTTTATCCTCATTTAATAGATAAGGAAGTTGAGGCTTGTGAGAGGTGAGGACCTCAAATGCAAATTGTGTCAAATACTGGCCCACATTTATTATTAATACTTGAAACATTCTGTACCTCTTTTAAAATTAACAATATAATTATACTGAAAACAAACCAAACCCTCCAAAGTCTTGAAGACAAAGAGTAAAAGAGGCCCTATCTTCCAGGAGTCCAGTGTGAATCAGAAAAAACATCACAGAAACCCAGCAGTGTACTCAGGGTCAGCAGAGCACAGCCCACGGGCCAAATCTGGACCTCTCCTGGTTCTGGAAGTTGCCACTGGGACACACACATGTCCATTTCTGAGTGAACTGCTCAGAAACTGCCTTTTTGCTAACATGCAAAGTTGAGTACAACAACTCGGACTACATGCCTAAAATATTTACAGAGTATTTGAGCCCTTTAAAAAAAAAAATCTTCTAAGCCCTGGAATATATTGGTCCTATATAATGCAACAGTAATTGTTCAAATATATAAAATGCAATATAGTAAACTAGCGAGAATATACAGCTATTCAGCTAAAAAACTCAATTGGGAAAAAGAAAAACTGGGCATATTTTGTGAGTAACTTGTTAGATGAGTGAACTAAGACTGACCTGGAAGGTTTCCTGTTTGAGACCAAGTTTTTTTAACAAAGAAAATGCCTCACCTCTGGTTCTGTTTTTGATTCTTCCTTAGGTTGAGCCGAAGGGCTACCTGGCTTGACTTTCACATCAGTTTTTCCCTGTGAGTTCCTGGAAGCCACCACAGCCCTTGAAGGCGGGGATGTGCTGACGATGGGCTTCACCTGACCGGCAGGTGTGGAGGAGCAGCGACTCCCGCTCATTTCTATAACGTGAGACGGCGCTATGGGTAATTCACGCAAATTGCTATTCCTGGGAGCTGTGGGCTGCATCTGCTGCATGGGACGTTTGGTTACATTCTGAGATGCTGCATTCTATCACAAGAACAAAGACATTTTAATTACAACTGGGAAGCTGGCTGAAGGAACATAAAAAGGCACATCATGAAATAAAAAATTAAAAAGATCATTCTCATTAGTAACTGACTTCTCTTCTGGGCAGCTGATATTTTCATATATAAATGCAGCCTCATAGCCTAATTCTGAAGACTCAAGGTAAAGCTAACCTGTTTGCCTACACATAGGCTAATGCTTACAGAATCTCACCAGGTAATTTTTGGTTGGAGCTTCAGGCCAAGGACTAACATTTTTAACAAAACTCTCAGAGCCAAAAAGCACTCTATCTGTCATAAGGACTCAATGACATCAAGAGCATATCTAAATTTAAGGCAGAAGAGGAGAGGATTCAAGCATTAAAGTTATGATCCTCAACCAAATAAATGCATGTCAATTTCCCACAACTAAACATCAGTTCCTTAAAGGCAAGGATCTGTCTTTTCTGTTTACTGCTGAAATGTGAGAATACCTGGCAACAGGACAGTTAGAACATTTCTCCTGAATTCATTTTTTTATTTGGAAGCAAAAGAGACAGAGATACTCTATGCATCAAAAATTAAGCCACTGGGAAAGGTAGCATGACTACCACCCAAAAGTACTTTCTTTTCTTTTTTTTTTTTTTTTTTGGTACCGGGGATCAAACTTGGGACCTTGCGCTTGCAAAGCAGGCACCGGAACCACTGAGCTAAATCCCCGGACCCCCAAAAGTACTTTCTAAAGTTACATGTCTATTAATTAATATTTATCACTACTGAAGCATCACAGCACATGAAAATAGGATGTTGAAGTCAATATTAACACAGCCTTTAAACATTTTAAGCACAAATGAGTTAAGTCATTAATTTCTGTAGTTAAGAAAACAATTTCCTAAGTGTTTTTTAAAACAGATTCACTTCAAAAGGATATACAACATATCTATTCACTTAAAATCAGAACTGAAAGACAATCTAACCAATTATGTCCCTTGAATTCTATTTTCAAGTTAAATCAAGGGAAGACAGCCTCATACTTACATGCCGCAGGCCCTGGCGTGGGGGGCACTGCACCCGACTGCTGCTGGGTTGCGGCTGCGCCGTCTGCACATGTGGCCGGAACTGTGGCTGAGACAGAGGCATCAGAGGAGGGGGTGGCGCAGAGAGGTGGTGGTGATGCTGGTGCTGGGGAGGAGGCTGGTGCTGGGGAGGGGGCTGGTGCTGAGGAGGAGGCTGGTGCGGGGGCTGCAGTGGGGCCTGGTGTGGGGGTTGATGCTGATGGTGCTGCGGCGGGTGCTGATGGGGCTGTGGCTGCTGCTGTGGCTGGGGCTGCGGCTGATGAGGAGGGGGCAGTGGAGGGTGCAGGGGCCCCTGCCATCCAAGGAAGAGAAACAACAGTTTATAGACACATACACCAAGTACATTCCAAATCAACTGCTTCTTTAATAACCTCCACCCCAAAAAGAAACAATAGGCGGTACAAGGCTTCACTTTAAATTTGCTGATGAAAGTGATACTACCTTAAATGCAGTAGTACACCAACAGCTAGTGCCTTAAACTGTATGTTTGCCCCAAGTCCTTTCTACTCAGGATTCCAGGAATTCATCTGAAGGAAGTAACCCTGATGCGAACCAACACATAACCTCAAGTATGATCCCCTACTGCACTACAATACCAAAACACTGAAACCAACATACACATCCAAATCAGCGACCTTGCGCAGTAGGCTTAGATTACATAGAGAGACAATTCACTGATGTGAGGTCAAAACGACATGGTAACTGGGGGAAAAAGCACAGGGATGAGGACTTACTGCTTTCAGAGAAGACTAAAAAGCACACATGAAAAGTATTCACAGTAACTGTTTGTGAGGAATGAGATTATTTAATTTCCTTTTCTTTTTTTTGTGGTACCAGCGATAGAATGCAGGACCTTGTGCTTGCCACGCAGGTGCCGCTGAGCTACATCCCCAGCCCTCCTTTTCTTAAACTTATCTAAATTCTAATATTTCTACAATGGAGATAAACTTTTTATAAAAAGAAAAAACTTAAAAAACATTTAATACTTCATTAACAACCTAAACAGTAATCATTTCCCTTTTTCATTTAGGTACATATTCTATGTGCTTCTAAGTTGAGTCAAGTAAACCACTGTTATATATATTAATGGTAAACCTGAAATACAAGAAGGAATATACCAGATTAAAAAAAGTCACAAAGACCGGTGTCCACCCAAGAAACACACACCCACCAGCAGAGGGCATTCGAGTCTGTCACATACTGAGTGAACAACAACTGTTCCTCCCCACAAAGGACCTTCTTACTGTCTAGTGCTGGAACGAAGAGGAGCATTTTTCAACTCCCCAAAAATAACAATCACTTTTCCCATCTCTCCTAGTATTTGAGAAATAAACAATATCATCCAGAAAACTGTGCACTTTAAAACTAATCCCTGTATTCTTTAACTACAAACCAACAGACTAAAATGAAAATCTGAACTTCACTTTCATGCAACACGGATGTAGCCATGCACACAAGGTTTTCCTCGAGGCTGGTCATGCGTGTACCTGCAGGTTGGGCTGTGCATGTGTGGGCAGGAAGGGCTGGCCTGGGCCGGGCAGGAACGGCTGTCTAGGAGGAATGAAGGGCCGGGTTGTGGCGGACCCTGGCTGGCTGAAGTGCAGGATCCCCACTGGCCCTGGGGGCTGCAGGGCTGGTCGCACGGGCCTCTCTCTCGGGAACACCGGCTGCTGTCCTTGCTGATTAAATGCTGGTCCTGGCTGCGTGAATGTTAAAGGACTCTGTGCAGGAACGGGATGACTGCTGTTCAGAAGCGTAGGAGGTGGTGGGGGTGGAGGAGGGCTGCGCTGTTCCAGGAACAGGTGACTGGGAAACCTTGGTTCACCTGAAACTGAACAGCAGTACAGCAATGCCTTCAGGTTAGAAAGACCACACACTTCTTACAAAAGAGGTTTATGAACTGTCTTGCCATGGACAAAAATTACAAATGTGGGTACGACATGGATCTTTAGACAAAATCCTAGATTTTGCCCATTTCTATGCTGCTTAGCAGGTCATTTTCTATAAACAATTTCCTCCTTTGTGTGACAATTTTCACACTTTAGATACTAACACTGTCCAATGTGAACATGTGAAATGACAGGCAGAAATGCACGGTACAAAACCTGACACCTTTAACACATCCCACGGGAGCTAAGTCAGCTCTCACAGTAACTGTTCAGGTGCATCAGTGAGTACAGTTTGTTCCCCTCACTGTGCCTGCCACCCCTTCCCAGGGTACCTCCCAGGAAGAATGGGTCTCGATCCTGCGGCGGGGGCGGGGCTCTCCACTGGTCCTGGAGAGGAAGTCGTGGGGGCTGGCTAAAATTGTTGGGAACAGGTCCAGGTGTATGCTGTGGAAACTCCGGAGGACCCTAAAGAATAGCAATGGGAAAACAGGGTGAAAGACAGAAAAATACCTTGTAATTCTCAGAAATGTATACATGGTTCAATGTTTTCCTCTGAAAATATCAGGCAACATATCTATGGTCAGCCTGCCATGCCTCTCTCTCTATGCACACATACACACATATAATGACATGCTATAAAAACTGATTCTGCCATAATGAAACTGAAAAAAACAGAATGCAGCATCAAAAAGTAATTCAATGTTTTAATACTATTACAATGCTACAAGAGTATTATTTTTAAGCTTATTAAAATCCATGCAATTATTGATCTTCTTTCCCATTAATCCAAAGGACTAAATGTCTACTTGGAAATTTCATATGACATTTATTTTCTCAAAGATGGTATTCTTTGCTATCTATTTAACACAACCATACGCTACAGCTATGAAACTGCTTTACTTCAAAAAAGAAATTCAGTTTGTGCCCTAACAAAAATCTGGAACCTTTGACATAACAGGAAAATGTGAATATTTAGGAAACCAAATTACTGTAAGAGAAATATTAAACAGTTTTATCCTTTGGATAAAAAAATGTTAAACACATAGTATAAAATTTTTCAATGACTACTTAGTACAACTCTACACAAAGCAAAACTGCTCACCTTCCAGTTGGCCTTTCAAATACTGAGAATTTTCTAAACATTGTATTTATACAGCAGCACTTAAAGATGATGTCCCAAAAAGAAAGAATTATTAACTTCTCCAAAAAGGAATAATTATTAGCTATCATGAGGATAGTCTGCATTGACTGTAACTCCATCCTTCAGACCTGGGCCAGCATAGCTTTTCATAATCACCCTTCTTTCTTACAAACTTTTCTACAAGCCTGACATCTCCTTGAAGAGCCTGTTCTGCCCTGCTCCCCACAGGCACTGAAGAACACTACAAAATATTCACTGGCCAAACCAGAACCCAGAAGACCACTGGCTAGCTAAGAGTGACAAAGAAGCTAGGTTTAACACAAACATGACATCTTTATGAAAACATAAGTATTAAGAACTTCAAGAAAGACGTGGAACAGAAAGCCCCAAAACAAATTCTTGTAGATTTTCTTTAGCATTTTATGTAAAACCAAGGAAATCCTCACCACACTAAAGTCTAAGGTGGGAAGTGGAGCTTCTCACTGTACACAGAGGCATCAATTAAGATACAGCCAAAGTGGCAAATGTTCTCAAGGAATCTAAGAGTGGGAAGGGAGAATCCGTGTCATGTACTCATGCTACATTAGAAAAGCTTTTTCTCTTATAAACATATACTCTTTATCATATTAACTTGAGATTTTACTGCTGTGGTGCTTTGGGTATGGATATTCTTTAATATTTTTACTTTGAAAAAATGCCAGAAAAATTATTTCAAACAAATTGATTATCATGCAGTTACCTTTTAAATCTGCATGAGGAGTTTCCCTGGACTTGCCTACTTTTGCCCAAGGATAAAAAGGGTCTCACTTTTTATGTGAAGCCAATGAAAACATGGGATGCAGGACTCATGTCTACCAAAATAATTTTGTGTTTTACCAGGTAACTTAAATGTTGTATTTATAAACAGAGCAAAAGTATTCTATCTTTAGTTTTATATTTCAACATAGTTCTGACATATACAAGTTGAGCATTTCTAATCTGAAAAACCCAATTCTGGAACTGTTTTCATTTGTGCTCTTTAAGTTTCAGGTTCCAAAGCATTTCAGATTTCAAATTTCTGTAGCAGGGATTCTCAATGAGTAAAGTCTATGGTAAGTATTCCAACATCTGAAAAACTTCAAAATGTGAAATGCTTCTAGTACCACTCATTGTGGATAAGGAATATTCAAACTGTACAGGCATTTCTAAAACATTTTAAAATAATCTTCAAAACTTTCAGGATGACAATAAAGTAATACTCAAAGGTTCTGCATTATTTGAAAAATATGTTTAAATGTTTCTTTGAGTCACCCAGCCTGCGCTCAGGTCTGTGGAGAAGTTTATTGCATTGCATCCCCTCTGATCCAAGCCATTTAGCAATTCTGGCCCTGGGTAAAAACCCTTTGCTGAGTAAGCAGGCCATTTTCTTAAGCTGTGTAGATGTACATTCAATTATACTTCTCTCTTAAGGGAACTCACAGGAGGGCCTTTAAACAGATAAACAGAAAGGAAACCAGTAAAACAACTCATGCTACAAAGTATAAAACCCATAAACAAAACTATACTACCAAGTGGCTGAAAAGGACACTAGCCTAGCCTTGAAACCAGCTAATAGAGTGGTACTGGAGTTCACCAACACTTTTGTTTTTGAAGAATGTGGTTTGCAAAACAACAGTGTTTGGCCAAATTGGTTTTCTTTGCAAATTGTACATCAGGTGACAAACACGACCATGGCCATCCTTTCTGCACAAATACAAATGTGACTGACCATCTTTTATAAAACTGTGGAACAAATTAAGTTTGTTAACCAAGGTGCCACTGTATCTACAAACATTTATAAAATAAACTGTTCAAACTGAAAATCTAAAGGGTTAAGCAAAATATATGTATTTTATTAAATCTAATATACATATTTTATTAATCTAATGTACATACTAGATTAAAATAGGACAATCAGTACCACTGTTTGAAATCATATGATTTCAAACCTTTTAAGTTTGGTCTCTTCCAACTGAGTCCCAGTCATTTACAAGTAGGTTAGTTTTGTTTGCACCAAATGACTGAATAGGACCACGTGGGTGTGAGTTTAGTTGGGGTAGATTTCTATCAACACAGAGAAGAGATTTAACTCATAGATCCACCCTGAGTAGATCCTTGACTCCAGGGTTGTCTGGTCAGCAGGAGGACCGCCACCTGTCAGGGACTGTCTGAAATGAACTATCCAGGAGCTGCAGTGTCCAACAACTCAGAACCAGGGAGGTTTTCGATGAATCAGGGAACAAGGTAAAAGATAAATCAGTAAGCCTAAGCTTGTGGAAGGTGTGGCTGCCACACACCAGGTTCGGGATGGTACCAGAACTGGGCCACAGAGAAAGAACACTGGGAATAGCCTGGATGAGGTACAAGTCTTAGGGTCTGAGGCTTGGGATGCTCGCCAAGAGGTTATCTGAATAAAGTGTCAACTTTCTTGACTATCTGGTTTACCTTGATAGACAGAGGGAGCCAGGGAAGTGGGTCTGAACCAAGGATCACACAGTCTTGACCCAACAGTAACAGATGACTACAGTGATTCTCACAGAATCCAACAAGAGCCAGTCAGAATCCAGCTTGTAAGTATCTACTTTGGAGCAAGGACCATAGCGGGCACAGGGGCAGAGGCCAGGAGCCCTAGTCTGAGGACATTGGCTTCTAACACCCTGACCATGGCAGGCTCCCCAACCTCAACACACAACCACAAAACTGGAGTGTATGGCAGGCAGCAAGTCACCATGAACTCCCAGTCACATCACTATCTCGGTATTTTAAAATCATTCAGTCAACAGCATCAGAGATTTCAGTACTTGAGAAACAGGCTGAGGAGCTCAGTAGTTCCGTCAGAACAGAAGGAAACTGTAACCAGGAGAGTTTTGACCCATATAATAAAACGCTTACAAAAATGACAAGATTTGGGGATTTTAAAAAACAACTTTTTCTTACCTTGGATATAAAAGTGTTGTCTACAACTGAAATCAGAATTAATGAATTCTGGCAATGTCACCCTAGTATATACGAACTCCAAGGTTTCATGTACTTCTCTGGAAGACAATCTGTGCTTCTGCTTCAGCCAAAAAAAATGCAAAATGACTACAGAAAATGGCCTATCTTAAATCCTTAGTCTAGAGACTTCACCTTCTGTCCCCACCTCCTTCTTGGCCAACTGGCTGACTCCCTGGTCCTCATGGTCTGTTTCAGAAACCCACCCTGACACTAGCCACAGGCAACCCAAGCATCCTGCCTCTCTGCCTTGCAGCCAGATCGGTGGATGAAGGATGCAGGACAAAAAAAGCTCACCTTGGGGCTGGGGATTTAGCTCAGTGGTTTGTCAACAGTTGCACAAGCACAAGGACCCGAGTTCGATCGCCGGTACCAAAAAAAAAAAAAAAAGCTCACCTTGGTGCAAAGGAATCACTAAGCACTCATATTCACTTTTAACTGGCCCCTAAATGTCACTCAGCAGTTCTCCTGTCAAGAGTCCCTGATCATTTTCCACCTGAGCACCATGTAGCCCTGACCAAACTGCTCAGACATTCCCTCCACCTGAATGACCCCAACACTCTGCCACATCTAAGTCACCTTTTCTGTAATGAATGATGTGCTTGCTGCTTGCTCATTTTTAGCAACAATCTATGAGAGAGAGAGAGAGAGAGAGAGAGAGAGAGAGAGAGAGATTGATTGATTGATTCTCTACTACTGCATTTGCCTGGATTTTTCCTAAACAGCATTGGAACAGCATGTTCTATTATAAATGATCTGTCAGAAAGCTCTCAGCCTTGCTACACTAAGCATCTCTAGGGCTTGGAACTTGTTAGCTATCAGGGTCACCTCGGTGATGGTGAGCTAATGAAAAAGCAGACTGCAGAGGTGTGACAGAGGGATGAGAAGTGCACCAGGTGCTTGCTGTGAGAGGAGAGTCCTCTGGAGGCTATTTCAACTTAGCAGGTACTGTAAACCAGAGCTACTCAATGTGAAAACTTTCATCAATTTAAAACTCTTCTACCAATTTCAACAGAGGGTAAAACAAAGCTTAACTTAGCCATCATTCGGAATCACTGGAAGCTCAGCTGCACCCTCACACCACTGGAGAGTGGAGCACTACAGGTGTATCTTGCTCTCCTACTGTGCCGCTGCATCACTGCAAATGCCAGGCAGGACTCCTCCCAGAGCAGGAAGACAGGGCTTCTGGGGCTGGCCTTTCTCCTCCAAGCTGTCAGGGCAGCCAGGGAGTGTCAGCGTCTCTCTCACTGCCTCACTTTTGTTCCTGACTTTTCTGTCTTTGTTACTTAGTACAGAAGGCCCAGTATTTGTT